ATGATTCTATGATTCTATGATTCTATGATTCTATCCCAGAGGCCTCAGCCCCACAGCTGGCCCCACGGCTGCCCCACGCCCCACAGAAGAGGGCTTGCTCACCTGCTGCCTCGAGGTGCACCTTCCCCGAGGGGGTGCTGTAGGGACCCTGCCCGGCCTTGTTGACACAGGCCACCCGAAACTTGGCAGCACTCCCGGGGGGCAGCTCCGTCACGTTGAAGTAGCAGTCAGCGATGCCAGTGCTGATGATCTTCCACTCGTCCTCCCCTGCTGGCGCGGGGGCAAGGTGAGGCAAGGGTAGACCAGGGGCAGGGGGCAGCCCCCTGTTCCCCACCCCTGACCTGGGACCCCGCTGAGCCCCAGGGGACAGCAATGACATTGGGCACTTTTGTCCTGGCTTGGTGTCCCCATGTGAGCCCATCTTTCTGGCTGCGGCTGCCGGGGGACAGGAGGCAGCCCCACATACCGTCCAGCCTGCGCTCCAGCGTGTAGGTGCAGGGGGCTTTGCTCTCCGCAGGCTTCCACAGCACCAGCACCGTGTTCTTGTACTTCTGGGGGATCTCCGGGGTGCCCGGCCGCCCGGGGAGCCCTGCGAGGAGACAGACAGAGTGGGCTGGGTGCCTGGCCAGGGGCAGAACAGAGCTGCTGTGGGGTGAGGACACCACAACACGTGGGCTTGGAGATGCTGGAGGTGCCCGGGCAAAACCAGCCTGTCTCCCCTCAAAACTTCCAGTCTCTTGCAGATGCGGAGAGCAGAGCTCAAGTGACCTGCTCCAACCGGTCCCCAGCCCCGGGGTGCGTGCCTGGCACGTGCTCTCTCCCCTCAGGCAGCTCCTCTGTCCCCTGAGGTCCCCCCTCACATCCTTACGCGCCACAGCCAGCGTGCAGGAGCTGATGGCCGTGCCCAGGGCGTTGGCGGCTGCACACTCGTACAGCCCCGCATCCTTCCTGGACACCCTGGCAATGGTGAGCATCTGCCGGCCGTCCTAGCAGGAGATGACGTTCAGTGCATTGTCTGGCTGCAGGGACCTCTTGTCTGCGGGGGGGAGCAGATGAGAGGGATGCTCCAGTCCCTCCCCCAGCACCAA